CAATAGACTGATAATAAATAAACCAATCTCTATTATGGCACATATGTTGAGGACATCCAGAATCAAGAAACCTACTCAATTACCATACACAGATAGGAGACAATCATCATAATACTCAACAACATTGGTATTATTATCAATTGATGCTTCTTCACCAGTTTCTTTGTTTCCTTTGAGCTGTGGGCAGTCAGATTTCCAATGCCCTAATTGGCGACAATAATTGTAGTTGCCTTTTCTATTCTTAGCCTTCTCTCTATTTTATTTTTGCCCTTTTCAATTCCTTTACTTCTAACAGCGAATGCACTTGATTGTTTTTCATCCTGATTTTCAAACATTTTTTTCTTCAATTCTTTGGAATTCAAAGACGCCTTAACGTCTTCCAACGAAATAGTGTCTCTACCATATAGCATAGTATCAACAAAGTGCTCATACGAACATGGTAAATAACATAACAAAATTAGGGCTTGGTCCTCATCATCAATTTTCACATTAATATTTTTCAAATCTAGAATAATTCTATTAAATTCATCAAGATGTCTTTGAATAGATGTACCTTCTGACATGCGAAGAGTGTACAAACGTTGTTTCAGATATAGTCGACTGGTGAGAACTTAGTCATATAAAGACTTTCAAGCTTAAGCCACCACCCGGCAGCAATAGTCTCGTTAATAACCTTGTGCAACACCTTATCTGCCAACGACAACAGAATAACACTATGTGCTTTCTTCAAGAGGTCTTCTTTCACATCATCTGACAACATTGACGGGAAAGCCTCGCCTTTTAGCGCCTTGAACAACCGTAACTGAACTAATAAGGCTCGCATCTTGACACGCCAAAGACTAAAATCATTCTTCCTGTCGAATTTTGTAACTTCATATTTTGCCGTCATTGTGGAAGCCATAAATCCCAAAATAACTTGACGAATAAACCAAAGCTCTGATACCATTTGTTGTGCCAAACATCAAATTAAACAGATTTAGGATAAAATATGAATAACTAAAAAATCTAAGGAATATAAGGATTTAACGTGGTTCGACTTTTAGTCTACATCTACGAACAAAAACGGCAAAGAAATTCCACTAAAATTAAAAAAAAATTACAAAAACTTATTAAATATCTCTCACCACCCAAATCTCGAATACACCTAAAATCTCTAATCCAAAAGTAAAAATTATAACTGTCAAAAAGAGAAAAATTGTGTATTAATAGGATAACTAATCTGCAGCTGCTACGCGGCTCTAAGTCACACGTCCATAAGCATATTTATATATGCTTTCAAAGTGAGTCGGCAAACCATGTGCAAAGCTTGTTCGGCAAGCAAGTTAATGAGAGAGGCTTGGGCCTTGGCCCAATAGCTAATCTGAGGCTTAATTAAAGCCACGAACCCAACATATATATATATATATATGTATATATAATATCCAATAAATATGTTATTGAGGTATATACATGTATATATGTATGGACGAATATTGTATGTACGATGACATGGAAAGGAGGATCTATGGTGCCAATATATGACCATTATCAATATTCTGAAGTTCAATAATAATTCATTTCTTTTTTCCTTCATAATTATCTTTTTTTTTTTTCTTGCTTTCATCCCCTCATGGGCCACCAACCGCCGAATAATGCATAAATGCTAATCCTAGTTCGGTAGGAAACAAAAATCATGCGTTTAAAAAAATCCATTAGTAGTTGAGACCACGTTATGGACATGAAGGAAAAATGAAAATATTCATGAAATTTGTCTAATCCCACCACATAAATTAATAATGGGTTACACAATGGGAGTGACATCTTTCCTACCAACAAATAAAACTTCTTTTCCAACTCCTCCCACAAGAAAAACATGACCAGAAAATCTTAACGCCAATTCTAAGCCTCTTAAATAATGTGGTAATTTCAGTATATTTTGTCGTATATTAATTGTTGTTTATATTCATGGTAACTTCCGAAATTAGAAGCTTAAAAGAAAACGGATAATGATTAAAAAAGTATCCCTGTTTTTAGTTGAAATGCAAGAATTCTTGTATTTTTAAAAATACTGATTTCTTTTCCTGTGTATTTAAAAAATTTATATTCATTCGTATATGAATTAATCCAAATCTACCTTTAATGTCAGATTAGGCAAATTTAATTGCAAAAAACAACAACTACCCTTCATAAAAGAAGTTTTATATATATGTATAGATATATATTATTATTTTTTTCCAGTGAAGTTTCAAGAGCAGTAACTTGATTCTCAAAGTCAAGACATTTGAGAATAACCAAGTTTGGTTTTAAAAGTATTTTTGCTGATATTTAACAAAACTTTTGTCTATAAAATAAAATGCCCCTTTTTTTTGGGACAACAAAAAGTCCTTTCACATGAACTTAGGACTTTTGCAATCGCGATTGATGTAAACATGAAGAAAGTGGTTTCTAACTTCTATTAATTAACTATGCCAACCTTGCAACAGTTAAATATATAACCGACAAACAAAAACAAAAAAAAAAAAGAAAAAAAAAGCTTTGTCAAAGGTTGACATATATATTTAAAGAAATTATATATATAGTAAGAAATGTCCATGATCCATAACCAAACTGATATATCTTCTTTCTTGAAGTTAAAACCTAACCTTGAAAAGGCTCAATGATATTGCAAAAAACTTCCAACCATTCTCAACAACTAGCCAGCAAGAGCAAACCTTCAAAATTAATTATACCACACAATTATTACAAACCCTACCACACATATGTAATTTAAATGGTTAAGAATAAAAAATAACACAGTATATGCATATCATGATAGCAATATTATTTGTTCCGAAGCATTACAACCTCGCCCTCTCACAAGGAGGTGGTGGGGAAGGGGGTGGCCCCACCTATGGGATCCACGTGATTCCTACTGCTTTTGAGAGAGTGGGTTGGCCTGTTTATTTCACCGCTTCGAATTTAAAATTCGAGTTTTACTATAGTAAAAAGCTCTCACACAAAGTCACATCTCAATTCGAATTAAAAACTCGAATCAACTTAAATTTTTTGGAGAAAATTGTTGATCTTATCTTTAAAGTGTATAAATTTAAATTTTTATCTCGTACTCTTGATAAATATTTTTTTAAATAATTAATTATTTAACTAAAAAAGATATTTATTAAAAATAAAGGTAAAAGTCAAGACCAAAACATTACAAAAGATATTTATCTCTTTTTTCCTTAGTTTTGTCATTCGATCTCATGCATGTATTAGAGGAGATTCCTCTTTCAAGTAATGAATGAAAACGTTATATAAAGGTATCTCTACAGGGCACCAAAGAGTTGTTTATATCTTAATTTAGTCAATTACTTAGGGCTTATTATTTTTTAGATCAAAACTCAAAAAAAAATTGAAAGTTATAACTTTATTCAAGTTTATGTTCTTTTGAAAAATTTGAGTTTAAACTCGAGTTTTAACTTGAGTTTGGGGCTAAAATTTGAGTTCAAGTTCCCCCTTCAACTTAAGTTCTTAAACTCAAACTCAAATTAATGAATAATATTTTTTCTATTCTTAAAAACACCATAATTTTTTCGTTTTAATTCCGATTGAGATGATTTTTTTTCTATATGTTCACAATAAAAAGACGAATAAAACCACATCCATATACCCTATTAAAATTTTCCATTACTATTGAGTTTTTATTAAAATACTATCTGAATACAAATTCAAGTTTTGACTCACCCAAACACAAACTCAAATAGATTATCAATTCAAATCATAACTCAAATATGCACATCTAAATACAAACTCAAATTACAACTTCAACTTGAGTTATAACTCAAATTCAACTCAAAATTTACACTCAAATTATTATAATTTAAAAATGCAACCGAATAAGCCTTTGATAAGTTGTTGAAACAAAATATATAAACCAAAAAGACAAAGATGGGTAGCTAGCAAGTTCTATCAAAATGGTTTTGTTATAGTTTTCAGAGGATTGAACAAAATCTACCTTTTTTTTTTTTTTGGGATAACTAAACTCCACCTTTTTATATACAGAGAGAACCTCTATCCATTCTTTTCATTTGTTTGTTTTGCAAGTAAGGTGGGGCCTTTTAGACTTCCTTTTAGACTTGATAAGTAGAAGTACTGAAATGACCCCACATATGACCCATAAAGTTGGATAATTCTTCAATAATAAATCTATTAGAATTCATGACGACTTTGAGTTAAAATAATCACTTTATACAGGTTTTTATCATATGTAATCTCATTATCAGATTAAATTAAAATAATAATATACACCATGGAAAAACAATTGGAATCTTACATTATGAAACGAAATATTATTTATAAGGTGTAGAAAAAGCTTAAATAAAACAAATTCTAAGGATAGTATATATTTTATCAAAACCATATCAAAATAAATTTTCTTAAAAGATTTTTTTTTGTAGACATTAAAAATAAACTATTGAAAAGATTTCATTTTCAGTTATCAAATCTGTATCAGAATTTTTTTATTATGCATATTTTTTTAATTTAATATAATTTTAATCATATCAAACAACAAAGAATTGACCATATCAATAATAAGAGGGACTTTTTTTTTCTCCTTATGCTCAACAACATGGAGGAGATCTTTTTTTTTTTATCAATAATAATTTTTTTCCCGAGTCTTATGGAGAATTTTTTTTATAAAAAAATTAGGTATTCTTTATCATGAGATCTTAAAAAAATCTCTACCAATAAAATTCTCACTTTAACAATTAAATTAATTTTTCAATGTTAAATTTATATAAATATATATTAAAAATTTATAACGTATTACATAGAACTATTTATACCACAAATTTAATAGTTAAAAATGAGAATTTCTTTTACGAGGATTCGACCGAAGAGGTTGTCAAAAATTATTAAATAAAAAAACTATGGGCCCACACGTGGTAGAATCTCACAGGCGGGGGAGGGAATGATAACCACGACTAAACATTTTTCTCAGACAATCCCTCTGCTTTTTGTTTGTGGGGTCGTTCATTTGTTCCTCGTTAATCCATTTTTCTCTGTCCTATTTTTTCTCGATCTTCTCCTCCGCCAACTACAAACTTCTTTCCTTCTGTCTTTCTTTCTAACTTTCTCGGAAAAAAAAAAAAAGAAAGGTTTATTTTTATCTTTTTGCTGCAAATAAACGCGCCAAATTCTCTCTAGTATTGAAAAGAAAGACAGGCAAGCAAAACAACCAACATTTCTAATCATAGAAGACTTCTTGTTTTCTTTTCTTTTCTATTCTTTTCTTCCGAGGATTGCATAACAAAACAAGGTAATCTTTTCTTTCTCTTTTCTCTTTTTTGTTTTGTTTTGTTTTGTTTTTTTTTTGTTTTTAGATTTGTTCTGGGTTCTGTTCCTTATAAAAGAGCAACCTTTTTCTTGATGATGAAGTGCAATTAAGTTTTTTTTTTTTTTTTTTGGGGGGTCTTTCTGGCGTTTTCTTGGCTATGAATTTAATCTGTAATGAGAAAACCAGTTCTTCTACGATCAAATATGAAATGGAATGGTATTTGTTGTGATATTTGAAGAGAAAAACAGAGCTTGTCTTAATTATTTTCTAATGCAATTGACTTGATATTTAGCTCAGTAATTGTTTCATAACTCACAAGCAAATCGTTTTATTCATTTTTTATTTTTCATGTTAAAGATTTCTGCTTTATCTGGCCCAGTTGCCTGAGGTTGTTACATTGATCTTCCTCTTCTATGTTATATATACACATTCATATATAAATATATATATATGAATTCTTTTTTTTTTATATGGGATTCTTTTTTTAGCTGAAAATTCTGTGTTTTTAATAAAATGTCTCGTAATTTTTTATCTTGTCTTTTTGTTTGTTCGTCTGCTTTTGTGTCTATATTTTTGCACTCATTCATTATGATATATTGGATTTGAATGTTTTGGAGCATTTGATGGTTGATTGTGTGGCATGTAGATGTTATATAGACAGAAATTGGGTATTTGAGTAATAACTCTGTATTTGAAGGGCCTATTTGATTGAAGATTCAGAAGTTAGATTTCTGATTTTACAGGTGTTTCATGAATTTTTCTTTAATTTAATGTCTATTAAAAAAAGATGAAAGTAGATTGTGTTAGTGCTACAGGGCCCTAATAAAAGAAAATTTTAAAAAATAAAATAAAATCAGAACAAAAAGATTGAATACACAGACCTTGGTTAAGAAGGAAATCCATGTTGTGTTTTTGGCACATCTGCTTTTGAACTTTTTACATATGGTAAATCGTTCCTTAAAAATTTTTACTTTGGTAAATCAGATTGAATTTAATAAAGCGTTGCAGAGTGTGCCCAAATCGATAATGACGATCTAAATTTAGATGGAAATGTCCTCTTGCATGTTTCATGAACTTGTTTGAAGGAAGAAACTAAACTTTTAGATAAAGATCGAATCAACATGTGTCGTGTGTGGGGGCGTTTCCTTCTAAATTTTAACGTCATTCACTGATTTGGATACAGTTTACAATGTTTTATCGAATTTAGTGGGTAATTTGCCATAATTAGATATTTAGGGGACAACTTGCCAATTCAGTCAAAGCAAAGGGGCAAAACCGCTAAAACTCCTTCGTCTAATCACCAAAAGCCTTTGATCTTTCCTTGATCCGGTTTCTGATTCTAGTAATTGTGTGTGTGTGAGTTTTTATTTTTATTTTGTTTCCCCTGCAGGTTAGCAACCTTGTGAAGCTTTCAAAGCTCAATATTGAAACTACTATTTCTTCATCAGATTACTGGTGAGCACTTCTTTTCCAATATCATGTAATGCATTAGGTTCTTCTCTTTCTCTTTGTTTCTTTAAGTAAATGATAATTATAATAATCTGCTACAGGTGTTGAGTTTTGCTATTAAATATTGATAATCATGGCTGAGGCAAGCGTTGAAATCCCAATAATCCCAGAAAATATTGAGCCTGAAACTGTTGGTGTCAAAAGGAATGCCACTGAAAAAATAAGTCCACTAAACGGCGGAGCAAAGGTTCTTTCTCGCTATCTTAGAGCTTCCCCAGGTTCCTGCCATGATTATTGCAAGTATGGAAGAAAACATGGATTTGATGCAAAGGAAAGGATTCCATTACGGAAATGGATCAAAGCACGAAAAGTTGAAGGCCAGGGTCTCGAAATGACTGTTTCTTCAGCTGACAGGAAGATGAAATTTGTGATAAGCCCTAAGCCTTGTCAAGATTCTGAAACCAAGAAACATGATAATCTGGATGCCAACAAGAGAGAAGTTTCCTCATCCTTGAATAAAGAAACCGCCTCTTCAGTTTCACAAGAAGATTTATCTGCCCTCGAAGGAATAGTAGATGTTTCTAGGGAAGAAGATCCTGACAGTTCGAATTCGAAGCTGGAGCAATCAAAGCCATCTTCTCTTCCAAGTGCAGCATATGTTGAAACCAAAAAAGGCAAGGAATCACAAGAAAGTTCAACCAGTAGAAAAACAAGCAAAATCAGAAGCAAAGAAACAACGAAATTGGTATTGGGAGAGAGAAAGGTTTTGGTTCCTCCTTCCATTCCCTTGTCCCCCAAGCGTTCTCTTAGGAGAGTTTCTGATATCACTACTCGAAACTCTCAAAACCTTAAAGGGGAGTCTCATCTGAAGAGCCAAAACAAGGTTAAAAATAGTATAAAACCTGAGCATACAAGCAATGAGGACGTTCCAGAAAAGACTTTGTATGTCATTGAATCAACTATTGAGAACAGAACTTCGGAACCAACTCAAGAGGATGTTAATACCACTCAATTGTCTCAATCCTCTACTAGTACTACTCACTCACCTCCATCCTCTCGGAAGAACTCAAGATCCAATGTATCCGGAAGTCATGCCTCCCGGTCAACCCCCTTTCCTTCACTTGGGAAGAAAGGCCTCAGACGTACAAAACATGAAACTCGAAGTACAGAACCACCTTTGGCTTCATTGCAATCATCGTCATCATCCATATCTCCGTCAGAGTGCCTTGATGGCAAAGAAAATGGTCTTGGTGGCACGTCTCTGCAGCAGACAGAGGTAATTGAGAAGAAGAAGAAGATGGTCAATTCGAAAGTGGATCAAAAGATGATAGCCAATGTGAAAGTGGAACGCAGGAACTGCGCTCGAAAGGTTGGAATAGTCGTCTCAGACAGTAAGAGCTCCGCTGCCCAGAAGCTGAAATTCAGGAGAGGAACAATACTTGACCTTAAACCTGCGGACAGTACTCCTAGGAGACTCAAATTCAGGCGAGTGAAATATCTCGGGGAGATCCAAAATGGTAAAGAAGATATCAAAAAGGCAAGCGTTAAAAGCAATGAAGCTGCTGTTGCCGAATCTGCTGATTTTGGCACTAAAACCAAACCGGAGAAAGTTGTTTCAAGAAACCAAAATGCTGATAGTTCTAGTAGTACTATTGCAAGGAGAAGCTGGAGGAGGAAGGGCACTGGTGAAGGCGAGGCGATTAATACCATTACCAAGACAAGCTCGGAGAAAGTTATCTCGAGACGTCAAAACGCAGAAGTTGCCACCAGAAGAAGCTTTAGGATGAGGGAAGTTATTCGTGGCGAGTTGAGTGGTGCTAGTAAAACGAATTCGGAGAAAGTCGTTCTGAGACACCGGAATGTGGCGGGAAAGAAAGAAGTGCGGAGTTTGTTCAATAATGTGATTGAAGAGACCGCAAGTAAGCTTGTGGTGACTAGGAAGAGCAAGGTCAAGGCTTTGGTTGGTGCTTTCGAAACCGTGATCTCTCTTCAGGACGCTAAACCCGCGGCCACAGCTGGAGGTGCATCTTGATTGTTGAGTTTCAAGAGGTTTGTTTGTTTGTTTGCTTCTTATTTATTGAACTTGTAATTACTCTGTACATAAGAAAAAAAAAAGCAAAGAAGAAATTAAAACAATAGTATTGGAGGATGATATATGAATGGAATCACAAGCTTTGTGGAAGATCTGATAAGCTTCAATGGAATGCTTAGGAAGACATTCAACCAAGCTATAGAGATGGTTCTTTTGAAGAGTGTAGTTATTTATTGGGTGCGTCAAAAGTAATGTACCTTTTTGTTCCCATTTTTATTTTGTTGATGGCTTTTCTTTTCTTTTTTCTTTTTTTTTTTTGGTACTTGTATTTAGAACATTACTTGTGGATTATTGAAATAAATGTGGTTTGCTATTTTGCGTACTGTAAAAGTTTATTTATGCATTGGGATTATTTTTTTTTTTTTTTTTGTGTATTGTAAATGAGGTTGTACCACATCAACTTGTTCAATTCCCCTTTGTTTTCCTTAATAGTAACTTATATTCTCATAATGATATTTAAAAAAAAAAATATTGAGAAAATGAATGAAATCCCAGTCAAAAGTTCCTTAAATTTTTTTAAAAAAAATCCCATTCCAAATAAATAAATGCAAACAAAGTAGAAAAAGATGGTTGTTCAGCTGAGGACAGCCCACAAGGCAATCTGGACTGCAGGTGCGCCGGCCCGTTATCCGCCCACTGTCATGAGTGGAAGGTTTTCGCTGCTCTGTGAAACCAGCCTCACGCGGTGCCCCCCTCTCTAGGGACCAGGAGGCCCAAGCCTTCGTTTGAGACCCATGGCCCACTCACGACTTGGACCGGGCGGGCCGACAAATCGCGACCTTCCAGCCCTGCATAGTGGGCCGAACTGCATTCCAACCATCCTTAATGCCCTCACTCGAGTCACAAGCTAGCGCTACCCAGCTCGGCGATTGTCCGTGTTTTCTCACGTGCTTATGAAGTACAATTTTTGGCTTGTTTGTTGTCAATGTGGGACAAAATGCAAGTCCTACATTGTTGTGCCATATTTCCTAGATCAAATCGACTTGATTTTGCTAAGTTTATTTAAGCTTGAAACTTCGAAGGTTGATTATTGAATTGCATAGAATCATTGAGAGGTCGTAATCTTTTGCTTTTAGAGGAGAAATTGAAGTTCCGAAAGATTTTAATGAGATACAACAATGTAGGTCTTTCATTCGAATAATCTGAACAAAATGTGAAATTACCTACGTAGATATTCATTGAATTAAACATAAATTTTGTTTTTATCATCTAAATTATGGTTACTCACTTTGTCCCCTAAATATTAAAGAAAAGGTGTATTTACTTTCAAACTTTGATACATTTGTAAAAATGCTTTTTCTGACAATCCTGTTTATTTTTGCTAATGTGCACAAAATTAAAGTGTAAAAATTTAATGCAAGTTAAAATCCTCAGCTATTAGTAATAAACCCCGAACTTTCTCTAATATATATTAAATAAAAAATCAAAAAAATTAGAGAGAAACAGCCACTCACTGATTAGTAACTAATATTAAGAATATGCCAATGTAAATTGAATTGGAAATGTACCAAAAGATCATTAATGTTTTTTTCTCTCTAGTTTTTGGCTTTGGTCCATCTTTTTGGCCTTCTATCCCAAGACACCATAGAATTACTTTTGCAAGATGAGACTAGCCAGTGCCATAAGAAGAACATAGCAGGAAGCAAAAAATGCAATAAAATAAAATAAACAAAGAAGATAAGGTTTCTATTATCCTTTTTTTTTTTGTGATTGATTAGTTGGAGTCACTCTCATAATAGAAAGTGACATTTCCTTCCAGGGGTACAAAATGCCTTCAAATCAATCCTCCCCAATATTTCCAGCCTGTGAGAAAGAAGCAAAATGGTCCTTAACCAACCCCATTCTTTGAAACTCACTGATCATAATGTGAGGTAAACCTTTGCTTCAACATTCCACTCACAATTAATGATCCTCTTGGATTTTAAATGCAAGGAATTTGGTATTTCTGCTCTTTAAAGCCAAGGCCAACTTGGGTTTCATACAATAATAATCCATTTTCTAACCAAAATGAAATCTCAATGAATTGATTTCAATGGTCCCATTTTGCTCATGACCATTGCATTTAAGTGGTGCACGTAATAAGATGATGAATCTATCTCAATCTCGATCTCGATCTCGATCTCGATCTCAAGGTCAAATCCTTGTTTTCGACAGACTTAAACGAAATTGTTGTAATCCAGCATTTAATGTCATCAAACTGAACTTGCACTTCCGCATTGATAGTTTTGATCTCTTGGTTTTTCAATCTTTCTTTGGCATGTCATGCATAGTTGCTTATAGATTCTGCAGATATTTTTGACCAATTCATGTTAATAAAGTCAGACATGTAAACAAAATAAGTTATTCTAGATTTTTCTGAAAGGAAGTATAAGAATATGTCACTTCCTGAGTTTAAGAATTTTGACATAAAAACTCAATGTTAACCATGGATTAAAGAAACTCAAGGGAAAATTCGGCAAAATGTTATATGCCAAAGCTCCATTCTTATGAGTCTCTTTCGCTATCATGCACGGTTACACGACATCATTATTCCTAGAAACTATAGTCAATGAGCTGATATTAACTCACCCTAATCCCTGCCATCAATCCCAATCTTCCGCAAAGCATATTAAAGCATCGATGCCGACTTCAATCTCTCTTTTCTTCTTCGGCCGACAAGCAAACGATGTCCTTGTCAAAGCAAGTCGAAGCATATTGTCAAGGTGGAGAAGGAACTCTTGCTGTGTTGCCTGGAATGGATAGAACAAAAGGACTATTCTATTACATCTTTAGGCCCTTTTTTGTGCCTGCACACATGCATGAGTCGGATAACACACCGAGTGTTCTATGGTCCCCTACAAGTATTTCATGTGAAGAAGCTAATGACACCTCTAACTTCTAGTGTTGGCGACACCAATAGCTACTTATAGGCTTGAGAAGATGGGGAACATGGCTAAGAAATTTGACCTACATGTATGCTTAAGAGGTTACAAGCTTTAAATGAACTGTCTGAGGCATTATCGGAGATTTTTTATGGTCTTGATGAAGACATGACTTGCTTGCGGTAACCATTGGCTCTCGTCAAATTCCCTGCCGTGTATAAGAAATTGACTTTAGGCTCAGTACATGTCGATGTTGTTGGACGAAATTAGTGGTGTTAGTGGTCGAATACTCGCTCCAAAAAATGTTTCTGGACGCAATCTTTACTTGTGGGATTGGTGTTTGTCACAAGGAGAACAGGAATAGAAAAATATCAGCAAAGAAGATGAGTCTTATCCTATGCATTGCATTTTACTTGTAATTTGCGCTTCTATATGATTGTTCGAATGGTTCCAAAATCTGAACTTTTTTTTTTCTTTTTGCTAGATAAAAAATCTGAACTTTATGACACTCTTATGTATACTTATCCCAAATTCTTTGTTCTGCACATAATTTTTGATGCAATGGAAATGATAAAATCATGACCTTATAAGATACCATTTAAGATGAGGACTACCACAATAAGACGGGCCTCATATTTAAGCAGTAGAGAAGTAGCTAACATTGGACAGAACATCACAGAACCTGCTATAAATAATACTAACATTGATATGCTTCTAGTTTCAAATTCATTTTTCAACAATCGCATGTGGACAAAATAAGGGACCCCTTAAATTCTTTCAATCCTCAACTATCAAGTTGAATAAATATTGGTCAGATTACCCGCTTAAGATATCTTATATATAAATATATATATATATATATGTGTGTGTGTGTTTATATATAATTTTGTTTGTCTCTTTAATTTGGTGGTCCTTAAGAGTAGTTCATACATAAATGAATTCTGACCTTCCTGTGCTTGGCATGCCTACTTCTTTGACGAACTCCATTCATTTACAATAAATAATTGTTTCAATGAAGTTTCCACTACAGAAAACAAGAATTTAAGGAAAATACAACACTGTCCATTTCTTGTGTTTCAAGCACCTCATATTTATACCAATTTTTCCTTTCCTTTTAGAAATTACATTTAAGCTTGAGGAGCATAATAACTTTGCTTATACAAGTGTGAATGAAAACTAACTTGATTTCCGTTGTTTATTTATGAAGCAAGACTTTCCAATGAGCTACCCATATCACAGAAGTAAGAATAATCACATTATAAACTTTTTGAGTTAATAACATACAAATACTTCAATTACAATTGCATATTATGTAGATAAATTAATCATATAATACAGATATTGTATAAGGTCACATTCTAAATAAACTATAACCATCTTCTATAATCCTTGTAGGCTTTCTTCAAATCCGTCCCTTTTTGCTTCTTGTCCTCAAACAATATAATAAGTGCTTCTTAATCCTGTTGCACATGACTCGACCGAGATGGACTGCTTGTCGCCTGTGTCGTCTGGTTGATTCTCTGGCTGTATAAGGCCGCCATCTTGTTGTAAAGTTCCATATTCATTGACTACAGAAGAATCAAAATTTAAAAAAAAAAATCAGAAAACTTAGACTAGCAAGATTCTCATTTAAACTTCTATGGTAATATCTCTTAATTGCCTCAAAACCTCATTGATCACCATAACTTACCAAGAAAATTCTTTAAAGACAAGAAAAGCAAAAAGCACAACAACAGAGTAAGGTAAGAGGCAAAGTTGAAACTATGGCATACACATACTTGTGCTAGAAGAGCGCAATAAGGATCAGGCAAAGGGACCGAAGGAGCACAAGTGCTAGAGGCCGCTGCAGGGTTAGGCTTGGCTTGAGCAGGAACCATGTGGGGCACCATGAAAGGCTGCGGAGCAAATGTGGGACCACCACCAGCATTAGCAACAGCGGCAGCAAACAGATTAGGATGGATGAGAGGTGGCAGGAGCGACTGAGGAGCAGCTCTTGCCATAGAGCTCATGTCGAGCATTCCCATGCCCATCGCCATCTCCATCCGCGCGAGCAGCGACATCTGCAGCTGCTGTTGCATTCCTAAAGATATCATCATCTGCGGCTGTGATGGTGGTGCCATGTTCCTCACATTATTCATCATTTGGACTTGTGCTTGGAGCTGCTTCAAATACTCGATCACCTCATCAAGCATTGAAGCCTTATCAGTCTGCCATTGAAAGTTGTTTTGATTATGAAATGAGAATGAATTTCTGCTAGAAAAAACCAAAAACAGTGTTTTTCCACTTTTGCTCAGAAAAAAAGGATCATTGTCATCCCGCCCCCCATTCCCCTCATCATTTTAGAAATTTCAGGACCCATCAATTGGACGGAAAGAATCTGACGTAATTCTATTTGAAAGGTGAGTAAGAAGTAGTGCTTTTTTGTGAATGATTTATTGCTCACCTTACATGCATTTGGCACCAACTTTTGCAGTGCTTTCATCTTCTGATTAATCCTATCTCTCCTCTTCTGTGACAATCATATAAAAACATTTAAGATTTGAACAAAAGGTTCTTAATATATTTGATTTTGATTATTAAAAAGTTTTGATCATCATATTTACCCTTTCTGATTGGTTATGAGTAGCAGCAGCTCGACTCCTTCTTGTTGAATTGGAGCGCCCTGATTTGGTCTCTTGGTCTTCATCATGGTTTTCCTATTAAAAATGAATTGGTTTTTATCATATGCTTTATAACTGGTGCAAAGCATTCTTTGACAAATTAATAACAACAAATAACTTCTTCAATTGTTTTAGCACATGTTCTATTTGTTGGGTAAGAGGAAACATTGTAGCAAAAAAAATTGAGTTTGTGTTATTGTCACGTTAGATTATTTACCACAATCATTATTGTACTTGTGATAATTACTTATGCGGCAGTAGACAAAAAAGTAAAAATTAGTGTTATCCATGAACTACTTTTTTTTTTTTTTCTTTTTAGTGCTATAAAAGAGGGGGGAAAAAAAACCAACCAAGATATTATAACTCAAGCTACTTATGAGCAATGACGAAAATTCAAATTAAAAAAGCCCATTTACAACAAACAAAAACAAGTGAAAGCTCCGGAAAAAAAAAAAAGTGCACTAAAAGAGAACATCTAATATAAAAGAGACTTACTACTGATCCAAATTTGGTAATGAAATTGGAAGTTATGGTGCTACTTTTAAAAGAATAACATGTGACAACTGACAACCTAACTTTTTTTCATTTTCTAATTGAGTCTTTTCTATAGCTAGCTTCTTATAAATAATACTAAAAAGATTTTGAACTCCATATATAGCTAGGTGTGTCTCCCTATGAGCAACTAGTGAGTGGGGACTAAAATTTCAAGTTCAATGTGTGTATTTTACCATGTCACTATGAGAGATAAAATCTTCATCATTAGTTTTGTTCTTCAAGTTGTGGGGAGACTCAAATGAAGCCCATGTCATCATAGTTGTGTCACTTTCCCTACAAAATGTTGCACTAGCACTAGCACTAGGCCCACCATGCTCTTCCTGCATACTACTGCTGCTACTCAAATTCCTCCCCCCATAGTCGGAATCCGATCGGCTCCGCTTTCTCATCACTAACGTTGGCGGCGGTGCCTGGCCGGAGTTCTCGGCCCATTTGCCAATTAAGGGTCCAACAATGTTGGAGCCTATGGTGGCTGGCGTCTGTCCGTGTCCATGATGTGTCACATTGGGATCATGTGTGTGGCATGTGGCTTGGTGGACTATCGACTCAAGTGTGCCTCCGGTTCTGCCCCATGTGGGCTTTGCTGGGCCCAAGGGAAGTAGCCCACCAAGCCCATGCATGTCTAGCTGGCCATTTGCCGGTGTTAACTCCTTAACTTGGTAATTTGATCTGGATTTTTTATTCCCCAAGTGCACATGAAACATGAGTTAATACTAAAATGATATATGGGAAATAAATGCAGTCACATTCTTAAAATGAAAAATATGGTTGTTATGAATGAGACAATTCATGTAAATGGAGAATATAACAAGCTTAATATTTGTGTAGATAGGTATATATATACTCTTTGGAAGTTGGAGACATAAATGATGATGTGACGAGTTGTTTCGAAGGGAATTAAAAATAAAGAGAAAAGAGTAACCTAACACTACGCCTAACTTTAATATAAAGTTTTTGAGTCCTCAGACCTGAAGTAGAAAAGTGGGGTTTTACTTTTGAGTGTTGAGAGGTAAGACAGAGAAGAAAAGGGCAAATAAACATACAAGAGTACTAGAGAATAAAGAGTACAATATAGAAGAGGAAAAACATATAATTTAAGTACTGTTTCTGCAGTAGTGCGTGTGTATATATATAGTTCTAAATGGAAAAGATTTTCTTGCCAAAAGGGCCAAAATGACATTCAAAAGAAGAATCATAGCCGTGAGAAACAACATACTATACTGTCAGTTACTGGGGCAGAACTGGTCAGAAACCAAGAGATCATAAGAAACCTCTTGTGTGGAAATAACATGAAAATGATGAAGAAAAGGAGGACAAAAATGTGGGTCTTAAAACAGTAACTTTTGTTCCCTTTCATGTAAGGACATTAAAACAAGAAAAAAGGTCATTCCAAGTGCATATAACACAAGAAAATCAAAGTGGGTCTTTTTTATTTCACTTGGATTGAAAGAGAAAAAGAAAGAAAGAAAGAAAGACCGAAAGAATTTCAAAAATATTAACGAAAAAAAAAAAAGAAGAATCATAGAATTAGTGCATACATGGGGACAACAAGGTGACTACTAGAAGTAGTAGTAGTAGTAGTAGGATTCTGCTGGTTGGGCACGTGAGAGGATCTGTTTCCCTCTTCTCCTTCGACTTGTTCTTGTCTTTGGTGCCTTAGATTCCAATTTGGTACTACACAATGACTCATTCTGATACTTCTCTCTCTCTCTCTCTCTCTCTCTCTCTCTCTCTCTCTCTCTCTCTCTCTCTCATCTAAAAATGAAAAATGGGAAAGACTTGAGTTAGGGAGCTTTGTGTTGTGAGTTTGGACCGTTTTTAATTTCTTTTGTCTTCTGGTCCCCTCCTTGATGTCACATTTTGGTGTGATGGAGATTTTGCACAAAAATATGTGGTGGCAAAAACAAGCCTAAAGAGGAATTTGGATATGCTTTGGCTCTATCCTTAACTTTCTTTAAGGACCTGTCCTTACCTTTTAATTATGTGTTAGTTCTATAATTCATTTGTGTGAGAAAGAAACAGGACTACGATGACAACACAAATTATACCAATTCAAATATAGTTCATGTAGTGATCCCACTGAATTTTAGATAATTGTTGTCTTTTATCTTGGGCAGCAATGAAATCTTACAAGAACAAATGGGCGAATTCCTGTTTTGATGATTTAGTTGTGTAAGCATCAAAACGAGAATGATCAAAGAGTATATATTTGCAAGCACATCAAGCTTTGTTAGGAGATTTTAGTCCATAGATTTGAAGGTAAATTGTAAATTGTCAAAGTTTTATCACTCTTAAACTGCTGTAAAAAAATAGCCATGTTACTAAAAACAATAAAAAGTTGCGCTATTTGGTTAAAGTTTAAAAAGGGTCATTTATCGAATGTCTCCTTTAACCTATAGTGTAGACTTCATAATCATATTAAAATAATTGTTATTATTATTATTATTATTATTTTGGCTTCTTCTGAATCAGTCAGGTATATATATTTTTTGGTCGTAGTGGTATACTTCTCAAATTTATAATATATCATCCATAAGCAAAGTAATGAAAACAATACATGGATTTAAGAAGTAGGAAACTTTCACATTAATTAGGGTGCACATGAAGACAACCTTACATAGATTGTGGTTGATCTAAATCACATCATGCAAGTTAAACATGCATTAAATTTAGCAGGTTGAGATTCTGAAAATTTGACAATAACTTTGTCCTTTTCTTGGCCCTCCCCACTTTTCCTCTTAAAAAATTTCCTGTTCGTGTCAATAATTAACAACTAGGATGCAAAACAAAGGATGGAGATCTTCAATAGTTTATTTTAAAATTTATTCGAGTATTTGACAAGCAAATTAAGCAAAATCTTGGTTTATAAACATGATTTCAAATCAAAGAAAACTAAAAGTTGCCTTTTAAAAAATTATTTTTAAAACAATAAAGTCTGTTATTATTAGTAAAAGAGAGAATCAAATACAATAATATACACAATTGGAGATGGATTCTCCTCCATCCAAGCAAGCTCATCATCTATTCAGACAGATAATTTTGCTAGAGCCTCAGTTGTCTTGTCTTATTAGCGTCCTTACTGTGCAAAAATTAAACCGGGAAAAAAAAAGAAGACAAACTAGATGCATTCAATAGCTTATTTTAAATTTTATATGAGAATTTGACAAGAAAATTAGGCAGAAAAATCGGAGTTAATAAACACGATTTTTTTTTTTAAGGAAATAAACATGGTTTCAAATCAAAGATAATGAAAAGGCTGACTTAAAAAAAAAAAAAAATAAGTTGACTGTTCGTAAAAGTGCGATCAACTATAATTCATATAAAATGCGTAATGACAAAAATGCCCTAGGAAAAAATACAACAGTTCCAATCATAGATTTCACATCTGCCTAAAATCCAAATCTCCAACCCTTCCAATGCGTTTTCCTTAACCAGACACTGGATTATGAATTACTGCATGAGCAGTGGACACGTAGGCATATCCACTGACCGCCACGTGGAATCATGCAACGATCTGTCACACATCTTATTTTGCCACCACCTGTCCTCTATTATCAATTTCCCTCGTCAGAAGCATTCACAATGAGAAATCCCAGACCCCACCACGATTTTTCTCCCAACATTAGGGGTAAAACCGTAATCTAGAGCGTCTATTGCACATTCTAATATTATTGTATCATCATATTTTTGTAAATCTCAAAATTATTATGTAAAATAAATTAAACTTATCAAAACATCCATAAATTTTCGTCTCTCTAACGTTGGTTTTAAAAGGAATATAGAAAAAATGTAAGGAAAAAAGAATTTTAATACAAAATGTTTCTTTTAAAATTATCAGAATCAGTCAGTAACAAAATGTTTTCGTTTCTTCATGGTAACTCTTAAAATTATCATACTTTATTCCTCCAGAGTCCAAAACAATAACTTTGGCAATTACAATTACTCATAAATCCGTCTTATGATATCAGCGCTTTGTAACACACCAGAGATCCAAATGGGTTGCTTAATTGCCATAGACAATAGCCGAATTATCTTAGATGACCGTTTAATTTACTGATTTAAAATTTTAATTTAAATTAATATGTAATTTTATGTTAGAATTTTTTATTATATTTATGTTACGTGCTTTAGGTGTTCTATGGTAAATATTTTTATACGGCTATTTGAATAATGATTATATTTTGACAATTGGGTATCATTCATTTGGACAGTCTTACATGCCTAGTAGCATCATACATACATTTTGTGTTTAATTTTTCTTTTTATGTTTTTGTTAATTATTAGAATTATTTTTATAAATACATCATGAACTATTTACATTGTATTGTTTCAAAATGTATCTTGATTTTTTAAAACGCAACTTAATTTATAAAAAATAAATTAAAATGCCCCTTATGTCCATTTTTGTGTCTATTTTTGTGTATAATCTAACAGATTTTACTAACGTGACACTAATATTAAAATCTAATTAAAATGAAAAGAAATGAATTAATTAGTTCCTAAAAAATGAATTAATTACTAGAAAATTGTTAAGAAATTCATTATCCAACGATTAAAAAAAAAACCAATGAAATATCCTATGCCCCAACTAAGTCGATGCACCGCCCCAACCTCCACACCGCCGACCGGCAACAGTCCCTCCCCCGCTGCGAAGGTACCGCATCCGTGAGATCCCATCACACAAAGCCTTTCCCCCATTAGATCCCGTCGCAGCCATCATAGCTAATCGCCCATTCCCCCACCCATCGAACCCATCACTCTCGTGAGATTCCCAAACCTCCCGTGAGATCCCCAACAATACAAGTTGCAAAAACAACATCAATACTCATCAAACAAGAAGAATTGAAGATTAAAAAAAAAAAAAAAAAAAACATTTCTTATTGTTCGAGCGGCAAAGAAAAGCAGAGGAAGAAGAAACAGAGGCCTCTTTTAGGAAACTTCAAACCCTTCATGAGAGCCCTCTTCAACAATGGGCTCTAACTTTGTGAAATCATTTGGTCTTTTGGTGAGATATCAAAAGAGCTAGCGCAACTTTACCCCAGTTTCTCATGGACCCATGTAATCTTTCATTTCATTTGCCATTTTTACACCGAAGGAGAAAAGAATACAAAGGAAAAAAAAAATTGTGCTTTTGATTAGATGAAAGATGATCAAAGACAGAAGCTTTGAGAAGATGGAAGATGTGTAGGAAAAAAAAAATGGTGCTTTTGATTAGATGAAAGATGATCAAAGAGAGAAGCTTTGAGAAGATGCAAGGGGTGTGTGTGTGTGTGTGTGTGTGTGTGTGTGAGAGAGAGAGAGAGAGAGAGAGAGAGAGAGAGATGGGCGAGGGTTGGGCTTGCCAGTGGCTCGGCTAGGGGGAGGGGTCTTTGGTGCTCACCATGGTGCTCCGACACTGACAAACTCTTACTGAGAATGGGAGCCTGCATAGCTTTAGGTTGAGGGCGCTGGTGGGATGGGGCTGTGAGGGAAGATTAATTTCTATTTTTTTAATGAATATAAATTAGGTCAAATTACATGTACTCACTATTGGCCTTTTATCAAAATGCCTTTTAAAGTTTAAAAATAACAAATTTTTTTTTGTTCAATTTGTCGTTAGTATGCGTCTTCTTTTTTCATCTATTCTATTCTGTTAAATTTTAAATGTTAAGTGACACGTAAAAATTATTGAGACATTTAGAGCTTATTCATTTGTATTTAAATTTAAAAAAAATTTAAACTCAAGTTATAATTTTATTTAAGTTCATGTCCTTTTATAAAATTTGAATTTAATTTAAGTTTTAATTTAAATTTTAACTTAAGTTTGTGGTTAATATCTGAATTCAAATTTCCCATTTAATTCAAATTCATAAACTCAAACTTAAATTAATGAACAACCTTTTTATTTTTAAAAACATTATAACTTTATTCTGATTGAAATGATTTTTTTTATGCGTTCACAACGAAAAGATGAATAAAACATCACCTATATACCTTATTAAAAATTTTTATCATTATTGAACTTTTATTAAAATACCATCTAAATACAAATTTAAGTTTTAACATACCCAATCATAAACTCAAAAAGATTCTCATCTCAAATCATAACTCAAATGTACACAATTAAACATAAACTCAAGTTACAACTTCAACTCAAGTTATAACTCAAATCCAACTCAAGATCTACATTCAAATCATCATAACTCAAAAATACAATTGAACAAGCCCTTAATTTTTATTATAATATAAAATGACCATTTTGCCCCTGAAACCCAGTTCTACCAAAAACATGTTTGGAACTTAATTCATGACGATTTTGCATTTAATTTTCAATGTATTTAATCAAATTATAAAAAAAATCAAAATCACAAAAACAACACAAAACATCCACAGAATCCACAAAACCAAAGATCTGCATATCTAAAACGATCGAAGCTCATCCACGGCGACCGACGATTGGAAGATTTGCGAGGCTCGGAGCTTCTCCACGGCGATCGAAGATCTGCTAGTCTCGAAGCTCCTCCACGTCGACCGACAAGGCTTTAAGCGTGGCACTCAACCAAAGATCTCCGTGCAGTGGCGATGGAACTTCGGCTATTCACGGATGGACTTTGGCTCGTTTCTTACAGATCTGGCCGCGCGAATCCTCCCTGTCACCACCGCCACGGGCGTCTTACCGAGGAAGCAGATCTCATCAGTCTGAACAGTTTTATGCGGTGGCAGCATGTGAGAAGGCTGAGAAGGTCTACGGGAGATACGACGGAGACCATAGCATGAGGTTGAATAGCGGCGCAGTCACCGTGAGACGCGTCGGGAGTGAAGTTCCACACCGGATCTGAGAGAAAGGACGATGAGGAAAGAGACGACGGTGAGAGCAAAGCGGTGAGGGCTTAACAGCGGAGGCCGAGCGCTGTGAAAGAGCGTTGGAGAAACAGAGAACGGAGAGAGAGATTGAAGAGAGAGAGAGATAGATAGATAGATTCACCTTTTTTATTTTTTTAATATTATGTTTTTTATTTTAAGCATTAAAAAATACTTATTTCTACTAAAATTTTATTTAAAGGAAAAATTACTTATTTGCCCTTAAAATGAGAGTCATATGCCACTAACGTGACACTTAACGTTCAAAATTTAATTGAATGGGCAGAAAAATGAGACATGTGCTAATGGTGAATTGTTCAGAGAGAAAATTTGTTATTTTTAAACTTTAGGGGGCATTTTGTTATAAGGCCAATAGTTCAGGAGGGACAAATATAATTTGTCATATAAATTAATGACTGAGATTTGGTGTACTTAGATCAAGAATGAATGTTTTCACAGAAGTAGACAGAATGAATGTTTTCATCTATTTTCTATAAATTAAGGGGTGTTTTAAATTGATTTAAAAAATCAGAAGGCATTTTAAAATAAGATACATAGTTTGGAGATGCATTTATGAAAATAATCCTAATTATTATGAGGATCTGAAAATTTCATGTTATTGTCAATTACGCAATCCATATGCTCGAGTCAGTTGTTATTAGTTGTTAGTGGCGTATTAATTAAAAAATAGCACATTAGGCCAAAAAGTAGTGTGAAATCATAATTAGGAAAAAAAAAATTGGACTTTTATGATAAGGTGGTTGGACTCGTTTATAGTCTACAAGTTGCCTAAACACTCTTGCGAAGGAATCAAGCCAACTGTAGTTCGATTGGAGCTTGAAATGTGCAGACTTGCGGCAAACGTAATCGAGACAACTGGTGGCGAGTGGGACGAGCTGATTGCTCACGGCGATTAAACCGGCCGGCGACCAATGTTATTGTGAATGATATTGAATCAGTTAGCGACGGGAAAGATCAGCCTGATTGACGATGAATGAAATTGAAACGACTGGCGGAGAATGGAATTGAACCAGTTACTGACAAACTAAAACCGAGGCAAATGATGCAATTGATCCGTTACCCGTTTTGACCTTCTTGCTTCTACAGAGCAACATTGGAAAATTTCTAGTTCATTGATCACTTGGAAAATAGCTATTGAGCTCGTTAAATCGATTTGACTTACCTGCTCCTCTTGGAATAACTCTTAAAATTTTCACAAGCAATCGGTAACAAACTGCAACTACTTTCGTTCCTCCACAGTCCAAATATATATATATATATTTAACATTTTTATAGTGATCGTGATATCTGTTTTATCAGTACATTGTAAGAACCAAAAATCCATTTTTTTCCTCATCCGATATTGCTCAACAACTTAAGTTATTGCCTACACAGGAACCTTATTATCTTGGATCATAGATGGCTAGTGTTAAATATATGTATATACGTACGTATATGCTTGAATCGCAGTTTTCATAAATATATATTATACACATCATGCAGCAGGAAGTACTTAGAAAAAAGAAAAAAAAATTATATATCTCTGACTTAGCGTCTGATAACGTTTGGTGATTTGCATTCCACATATAATCATTTTATCGCAAGAAGAAAAAAGAAATTATAAAAGGCAAAAAAAAAAAAAAAAAAAAAAAAAAAAAAAAAAAAAGCAAGAGATGCTACAATCAACTGCGTTGCTATATACTAATTCAACATAAAAAAGTGTTGGGTGACATGAATAAGTAATCCCAACTAGGTTGGCACCCCATGGCACCCTCATTATCTATCCGCCCCCCAACATATTACTAAAAAGAGTAGTTCCGACTTAATGCAATAAATTACAAGCCGTTCAGTTTAGCGACCCATCTAAAACAAACCAAAGATTAAAACAACTACAAAGGAAAGAAAAGAGGGAATAATGTCAAGAAGATTTTGACGCTAAAAGACATAGCCTCAACTACGCATTTGATAATCATAATTTATGATAGACCTCATTAAAAACCTTGCTAGTAAAACCTTAAAGGGGAAAACCTAGCAAGGGAAAAAGAGTGTCTATGCTTAACCCCACAAATCAAGATCCTCGAAAAACATATCTCCGGCCACAATGTCGTTGGTGAAAATCGCTTCTTGAAACAACTGATCTTCTGTAATAGAGTCGAAACAAAAGGGAATAATTTGATTCGAGTCTGGTAGTTGGACGTCATTGTTGGAGCTAACCATGGTCGTAGGTTGCTCGGCAGTCGCCTGAGAAGCTGAAGAATATTCTACTTGTTTGACATCTCCGTTTGAGTTGAGTATAGCTGCAGGCTCCTCCACCAAGTTAACTTGAGTACTCTTAATTTCCTCCTTTCCCTTAAAATACACCTTGCAAAGCAGCCAATCTTCCAACTGCAGTAGCAAATTACAAAAAGTTAATCACTATAAATCGAAAGAGAAAATATTAAAATTTGATGATATATTGACTATCAAATAAGTTTAGCTAAGTGTACCTGCACCATATGATTGTGATCAGGTAATCTATATTCGTACATAAGCCAGTTGGTTTTTTCTCCTTCACCATTGTAGTAGACTAAGGTCCTACGGTGTCCAATTAAAACGCCGTCAAGATTCATGTTTATCTCTCCCGTAGAAGCCTTCCAATATCCATTACTACCATTAGCAATTCTACGTTCGAGACGTTTTCCTTTTTGATGCTTCAACACTTTCTTGACGAAGATATACATTTCAGCTTCTATTTGCACTCCATATGTTTCTGTATATATAAATAGTAAATTACTATTGAAGGATATATAATTCGTGCGGTCTTTTTAATCAACGGACATAAAAAATAAGAAACTCTATATGTATATATAATGATAGACAGACGAAATAGTACTTTAATTAATACATGAACGAAAATAAAGATCATGATCAACAAATTAGAGAACATATATAGCTTTAAATTTCGGCACTGGCAAGGTTTTGGTAGACCCTAAGCGATAGTGCAATTCGGCTATATTAACATATATATGTATGTATGTTCAGAACGAGCTATAGTTTTTAGGAATATTAATCTTATTATTTCATTAACGTATAATAATAACGGCAAAGACAGCCCTAATCCGGAGAAGAAAAAAAAAGCCCTAGAAAAGAATAATCTTATTATTGACTAACATATATACAATAATGATATTAGTGTTTAGTCAGACGTGGAAATTAAATGAAAAAAAAAAAGACCTAGAAAAGACAAATAAAAAGTGTGTATGTATGCACAAGAACTTATATTTGTTATGATAAATTAAGAGAAAGAAATAATTTCGAAAAGATATAGAACGAAATAATATAAAGAGCGAAAAATTCATTTATTTATATATATATATATATATTTATGTGTATATAAGATAAAAATTTACCTCTGAGCTTCTCCGGAGTATAGTTGTAAAGCTGAAGTTGTTTGAATCTGTTGGTGGGATCATGGAAGGGACAACTCATGACTTTGTTCTTCAAATAGTAATGCACCAATTCTTCTTCCGTAGGGGAAAATCTAATGCCCACTGGAAAAGGGTTCACATGCATGATGTCCATGGGTTGAAGAAATTGATGATCTTCAAATAGTAAAACACTTTTCACACTTCACAGCTCGAGAAATCGAAGTATACTTATAGAATGGAAGTGATTGAAACTTGGCAGAATGACCTTGTTTTTATAGTTATATACGTGCATATATATAATTGATCATTTATTTCCTACTCTAAATCGAATTAAACCACCATTTCCTAATTCAAGTGGTACTTTAACTAACAATCCTCGAACGATAAGTCCTACTAGTACTCGCTTGATTTTTTTCTTTTCTTATCTTTTTAAAGATGTCTCAAACATCTTAACGGACTTATATTTAATAGATGTTAGTATGAATTTTTTATACCACTAAAATATAAATAAAATCACAAAGTTATGGATAATTGCTTTTTATTCTTAGTTTACTTTTTCAGGGTACTTGACTTTTTTAAAATATAAAAAAGTTATGGATAATTTATTTTTATTTTTAGCTGCTTTTTGTAAATTTTAGTATAGCTAGATTTGTTTAAAATTGGGGATTTCAATGAAGATAGAGAGAGAAAAAAAAGTCGTCTAGTAGCATCTATGTTAGGACAAATCTATTATTGTGACTAAATCAAGCAATTATCGAGCTTTTGAATGGTTTTTTAGATTCAATTCAAGCCCTTCATAGATATAGTGATGGAGAATTAGTTCTACTATGGTATTGTGAGCTCCCACTACAACAAAACATTATTAGCGATGACATTTATTGTTGCTAGTCGCCAAAAAGAAATCAAATTTTTTTAACGACTTGTCGTCGCATAACTATTAGTGACGAGATGTCGTTGCACAAAATTTTAATATTTGCGATAACATATTGTCGCCAACATGTGGTAAATTATTTACGACGACATGTCGTCGCTAATAGTGAATGGTGCCAAAACCAAGCTGGCACTAACAATTTTGGCACTAGTTTCTCCATTATTTGCGACGCCATATCGTCACAAATATAGATAAGTACAATTGGCGGTGACGTGGCCAAACAAAGGTGAAAAATTTGGCGGTTTCCCGCAAATAGGTTCCAGATTTTCTTTATTATTTGCGACGACAATTGAAACGTCGTGGCAAAAAATGGTTCCAGAAAATTCTTTTCAGAATGACTGTTTTTGCGACAACACGTGTCGTCACAAAAAAAGATTCCAGAAAATTCTATCAAGCACGACTATTTTGTGCGACGACTTTTTTAATAATGTCGTCACAAATAAGTGGGAATTTAATTTTCCCCAAAAAAAAGGGCGGAAACTTTGGCGGTTTCCTTAAAATTATTTGCGATGACATCTTAACAAAGTCGTCGCAAAAAATGAGCGAGGGTATATTCCTCAAGAGTATTCTCATAAATATTAATAAGGCGAAGAAGAACGACGTCATTTATCTTACAATTGCGACGAAAATTTAATTTTTTTTTGCGACGACAATATGTCGCCATAAAAAATGGCATGGATAAGCACAATCGCATACCTCCTTCCGCCATCTTTTCTGGTGAGCTCTCGCATTTTCTTCCTTCCTCTCCGTCCAAAACCGCCACATACCCTCCGAAAAAGGCTTAAATACTTCATTCGCTCTTATCCTTCATTTGTACCGAAAAATATTGCGAAAAAACTGAAAAAATGGAGTTTTTCCTCGCCGTTGCCGCCCCTTAATCCGGCCATCGCCGCCCCTTATTCTAGCCGCCGTCACCCTCCCATTTTGCTGCCTTACCGTTCTTCAACCCCCAGTGTTTATGGGTTTAGATTTTGTGAGTTAATATTTTGGTATTTTGTTAATTGATTTTGGTATTTTTGTTATGGTTTGTGGTTTTGTTTTAGATTTTGGATTTAGTTTGTGGTTTTGAATTTAGAATTGTGAATTGTAAATTAAAATTGAAATTGAAATATGTGGTAATTAGATTGAAATTTGTATGAAATTTGTTTAATGATGATTATGTGATGATTAAAAAAATCAGATACAAATTTTAATTAGGATTATATTAATAATTAAATAATTAAATAAACTAATGTTAAATACTTATTATAAAATAATTTGTGTTAATTTTCATAAAATTTGATAAAACTTTATAAATTGTTCGTAGTGGAAATGTCTATGGACAAGAGTTGGATACTTCTTAACAGGCAATCATGTATGGCCCAGTCGCTACATATGCTGGCTCTTCAGAGGGAGCGCAGCCTCCACCCGATCCTTATAAGTTGCCATCACGTTGTGAGTCTGGTATGTTAGAACATAATTATAAATTTGTTAAATTAATTACATCAGTATTATATGATCACTAAATATATTTCATTCTACAGCACCCGATGTTGCACCTCGACGACGTCGTGGAGGTTAATGGAAGGCTAAAGGTCACGAAATCGCAGCCAGAGTGGGAAAGGAAGGAAAGATCACCCCCATGTTTGACGAACGTGGAGGTACTTTGAAGGCAATTGGAAACTACGGCACCTGGTTCAATAGTGCCATTGGAATCCATGTTAGGGATGTCTATGAGCCTTTCCACGATGCCTGGAAGGACATGGACATCTAGCCTAAGAGAGAGATTCAGCAGGGCCTGCTAGTATAAATTATTCAACTTCATTGTTTTTTAATTTAATCTAAATTTCAATATAATAAAATCATTTAACATGTTTATATTGTATTACAGGAATGGTTCAACCTCGATTATGACCGCGGCGATGATATACTTAGGTCTGTGGTCGACAGGGAGGCTGCCAAATGTTATAAGGATTGGAAAGGCGACCTCTATGACTATTTCAAAGATCTTGGTGGTTCACAAAATGAGAGTGCAGTTAGGGCCCACCCTCCCAAAAACCTCAGGAATCCAGATCACTGGGGTTGTTGCTGCGATAGATTCATGTCCGATAAGTTTCAGGTAATTGAATCTCTTTTATATGTTGTTTTATTATATATAATAAAGGTTAATTTTACTAACGCTGAATGCAATCATAAATAGAAAAAGTCAGGGATCAATAAACTTAATCGTAGCAACCAAAAGTGGTTGAGTTTTCATGGTCGACGGTCGTACTCCCAACATCGCAAGAAGAAAGTAAGTATTTGTTAACAATTTATTCAATATAAATGTTAATTTGGTAATTGATTACACTATATTCATATATATTTAAACTATTATACGGTCTACCACAGGGACTCAACAGCCGATGTCTGTCATCGATAACTGGGGGGACATGCATCGTCGTGGGGATACTTGGGTTAATCCCCAAGCTGAGCAGACTTTTCTAAGTATACTCGTAATGTTTAATTATATTTTTTTTATTTAAATCGCATTATGTATTTAATTATTTTTCTTATAATATTTGTAGCATCGGATGAAGGGAGAAAGAGAAACGCAGATCCAGATACAGTCTGCTACTTCTGGATCATCCGTAGCAGGAACAGTTAATGATGAGGATATTATGGAGAAGTTTCTGGACACCCGCAGAGGACACAAGACTGGAGTGGGTCGCACACTCCCACAAAAAATGTATCGAGGAGATGCGTCGTCATTTAGCTTACGCTCGGTAAGTTCTTCTACGACACGTTCTGGCCCACACGTAAAAGAATACTTACAACAGAGTTACCAACAAAACCTTCAGCTGTACGAGAGTGTCAGAATGATGCAGGATTTCATCACTCAAATGCACCCTAACATGACTTTCCTAGCGGTTACTCCTCATGTACCGTATGTCCATCCAGGTCATCCGCCTAGAAATTCTTCTGATGATAACGACGATAATTCTAGTGATGTTGCTAATTTAGGATATTAGATTTTTATTAATGTAACAATTTATATTTCCGCACATTTCTACTATAACTTTATTTTTATTTTATTTTATTAATTACTTTTTACAATATTAATTTTTATTTCTATTTTTTTATTTATTTCCTTTTATTTAATTCTTTTTTATTATTATAATATCATGAATTATATTTAATAGTGGGTTTAAATATATAGAAATATACAACATTAATTAGTAAAATAATAAAAAATAAATAAATAATTAAAATATTATTTGTGACGACAAATGTGGTCATAAAAAATATAAGCCACGTAAGCTAAATCTCATCTTTTATGATGACTTAATTAGAAAATGGTCATTGTAAAAACTCAATGCCATATCATTTTAACAATATAACTGACGAAATAATTGCGGCAACTCATTTGCGACGATTGTTGTCGCAAATATAATTGTGACGACTGCTTGTCGTCGCAAAAATTATTTTTGCGACATATCAATTGCGGTGAGGTCACTAAAACTTCATTTGCGACGACTTTGCATTTGTTGCAACGATTTTCTGTCGTCACTAATAGCCATGTTTCTTATAGTGTCCTGTTCTTCTACTGTATGGTTTTGTGTAATCTGTTTGTTTTGTCGGAAAGTTCTACTACAGGACATGCTACTAATTTGTGAGAAAACAATAAACCAGTGAATCCCATCAACGAAAATTCAAATCATAATATTCCTCTTGAATCTAAAAGCCCATATAGCTTGTTTTATTGAATGTTATATTCCTTAATAAATTAGTCAGAAAAAAAAAAGCAAATTAATACAACACAGATTTTTAGCATAAAGATTCATATTCTAGATAGAAAACATTCAATCGCTCCTTCATTAATCAATCGAGGAAGCGGAAACATTTGAGAGGAACATTTCCTCCTGATCTTAGTATCTTTGCCTTGTCTTAATTCAGTGTCTAACTCTTCGGTGTTCGTTTAGTATAAGGGTTTTGAACCTAGAATCATGGTTCTGGTTTAGAATCATCAGTATTTATTTATAAAAAGTAAAAAGTGGTTCTGATTTGACTCACACAGAATTAGTATTTAGTTAGGATAGTTCTGATTTAAGGTTTAAATCATGATGTGATATTTTAAATTATGAATCACCCGCTTAATTTTGGGTGGTTCAAATCCCTGATTCTAGTTATGATTTAAGAATCATGATTTGGACCTAAAATCATGAATCATGATTTTAGTTTCAAAATCAAAACTAGAATCACCTTGATTTGAACTATCATATCAAACAAACCCTTCATTTCTTCTTTTTCTTCCAGTTGTGCCCTTGCCCCTCCTGCTATCTGCTCTATCCTTGCTACCTTGTTTCGGCGCGTAGTCTACCATTAACAATTCTACGTTCGAGACGTTTTCCTTTTTGATGCTTCAACACTTTCTTGACGAAGATATACATTTCAGCTTCTCTTTGAACTCCATATGTTTCTGTATATATAAATAGTAAATTAATATTGAAGGATATATAATTCGTGCGGTCCTTTTAATCAACGGACATAAAAACTAAAAAACGCTATGCCCCGTTTATTTTATTAATTTGAGTTAGAATTCGAGTTTTGGTACAGTAAAAAACTCTTAGAAACAGTCATATTTAATTTTTTTATTACAGTAAAAAATTTTCACATAAAGTCACATCTTAACTCGAATTAAAAACTTAAATCAACCAACTAAACGAGTCCTATATGTATATATAATGATAGACAGACGAAATAGTACTTTAATTAATACATGAACGAAAATAAAGATCATGGTCAACAAATTCGAGAACATAGCTTTATATCTCGGCGTTTGATTGTAATCTTGTACTTTGGGCAATGGCAAGTTTTGGTAGACCCTCGCGAATTCTGCTATATATTAACATATATATATATATATGTATATGTATGTATGTATCTTCAGAACTAGCAATAACTGAAAAGACAGCCCGAGAAAAGAATAAGATCTTATTATTAATTAACATATATACAACAACGATGTATGTATACGCAAGAACTTATATTTGTTATGATAAATTAACAGAAAGAAATAAAACTTAAAAGACATGGAACGAAATAATATAAAGAGAAATATTGATAAGAGAAATATTTACTTCTGAGTTTATCCGGAGTATAGTTGTAAAGCTGAAGCTCTTTAAATCTGAGTTTCTCCGAACTTATATTTTTTGTTTTTCAAATAGTAATGCACCAATTCTTCTTCCGGGGAAAATCTATTGCCTACTGGAAAAGGGTTCACATGCATGATGTCCATTGCACTCACGAAAACACTTTTCAAAACTAAAGAAATTGAAGAACTTGCAAGAAAGGAAATTAGTTTGTAAATGGAACTTGGCAGGGTCACCTAGTACGTGTATATAATATATACATATATATATATATATATGTATGTATATCATTCATTCGATTTCCTAATCACAGATGAACTAAACAAACCATTTTCCTAATTCCAGTTGAACTTTAAGAGTACTCTCTAACGTCAAGTTCATAGTCCTTGATATTTTTTATTTAGTTTTTAAAGACGCCAAAAGAAATAACATATATTCAACCTAGAGTTAATAAATGTTGGAATTAATTTTTCATACCACTAAAATTTTTTTTTTAAAAAAAAGTTGTAGATAATTCATATTTACTTATTTGTAAATTTCAGTATAGTTATGTTGAAAATTAGGGATTTCAATATGGATAACGATGCAAGCTTTTGAGTGGTTTCTTAGATTTAACTCAAGCCCTTCATAGTGATAGAGAATTAGTTCTTCTACTATGGTTTTATGAGAAAACAATGAACAAGTAAATCCCACCAAGGAAATTAGAATCAGGATATTCCTGTTGAATCCCAAAGCCCACATAGCGTTTTTTTAGATGTTATATTCTATATTAAATTAGACAAAGATAAATAAAATCAATACAGCATAGGTTTTTAGCATGAACATTCATATTCAAATTAAATACATAGAGGAACATCCATATTCAAATTTAATTTCTGCTTCCTTGCACCACAAGCAAATTTTCTTGAGTCAAGGAAGTTTCACTTATAATCAACAAGTGAAGCAGAAACATTTGAGAGGAACATTTCCTCCTGATCTTGTCTTCTTTGCCTTGTCCTTCACTGCCAATTCTTCTTTTCTTCTTTTTTCTTCCAATTGTGCCCTTGCTCCTCCAGCTATCTTCTCTATCCTCACTACCTTGTTTTGATAATGTTGCATGTTTTGTGCCCTTCTCTGCTCCAGTAAACTCTGCAACAATGCCAAAATTCTTCTTTAATTATGTTTTTCATGATTCAAAATCTTTCACCCCCAACATATATATATATATATATATTTTTTTTTTTTTAAAAAAAAAATTGCTATAGAGAGAACCTTTCTCTTTTCCATCTTAAGCTTGGCTTGCATCTTTTTCTCATTCTCCCAAGCAAGTATCGCAGATTTCGACTTCTCATTCCTGAAGTTATGCAAACAATAGAAGCTTATAAGGAACTTTTTTCACTAATTCCGATTTGATTAAGTTCTCAACTCAAGTGAATGGATTAAACACATTAGTATTTTGTTTTACCAGCTCTGAACCTTTTTCATCTGAGCTTTCTCCCAAGCATCTGCTTTGCTTTCGATGCCATTTTGTCTCGATGATGTTCCTTTCTGCATTTGATATCTATCTGCCGGTGTTGCCTGCCTTACCGATGATGCACGACTTGGCTGCTTGGCAGGAGAAGCCCTCTCAGATACCTTGTCTTCCCGCGCAACTGACCTTCTCATCGAAACTTCGCCTATAATAAGAGCGTATATTTATTCTAAGCAACATGTTGATAAAGGAAAAGGAAAACTTCAACTTGTATTATAAGAAAGAAAAGTACCAGCAGTCTTTGCTTCCTTCCCCGAGAAGAGCCTGGTTGGCCTACTTGAACTTGGAATTTCCGCAGTGATCTCATCCTTCCTGCTCTTAGCCTTGCTCCTCGAGATTTCTAGAGCTTCCTGCTTCCTCTTCTGATATTGCAGCTCGGCTTGATCAAGCGAGTGAACCGCAAATGCAGCTGCTGCAACCGCAGTAGCAAAATCGCTCTCTCTTGCGTCGTAATCCTGACTCATTTGGCTAAAAAAATACTGGCTTTGCGCTTTCTTTTCTACAAATAAAAAAAAAGGACAAAAAATCATCATGGCAAATACTACTATAACTTTTGTCTTTGTCCATGAACCGTGGCAAGAAAATTTGGACTGACTTGATAATTATTCCCAAAATAGATTTTGCAAGGTTAAATTTTTCCAATAAGCCATAATTTTTTTTTTTTAATGACATAGAAAAGTGATGCTTCATACTTATTGTAGTTTGTATAGAACATGGTTACCTTCTTTGAGATGTTTAGTTTGTTGCGGTGAGGATGATTCTTTCCTTTCTTTAAAGCCCTCCGAACCTACTCTCTTGTCTCTTCTGAAATAGAGTTAGAATATATTTCAGGAAAAAAAATAATAATAACAAGAAGGGAAATCAGGATATAATATACTATTATACAAGTTTTTGAAGATGCCCTGCGAAGGGAAAAAAAGAAAAAGAAAAAAATCCCTCATTGCATTCAAGATCATCATGGTTTTTGATTTCTTTTACCAGTTTTCAAATACTAATCATGAGTCATGACCAAGTTAAATAGAATCTCGTCAAAAGGATTACTAAAAAAACGACTAATCGGAGTTGGGATTCGAAATTCAAACGTACCAAGATATATAAATTTTGCTGCAGAATTTTCCCTGTGAATACCCTGCTAAAAGTGTTTTGTTCTGAGGAAAAGCATAACCATGGGATGTTAATAACTTGATATCGGTTATATTGGTTTTTGGCTCATGAACAGGAGAGGGAAGCAAAGTGAAAATGCCTTGCATCCTGTTGCAAAGAGAAGCAAAGGACTTTTTTTTCCCCCTCTTCTCTCCTATTGCCAACACGTACACACAAATAGATATAAAAAAAGTCGCATAACCCAAATAGCAAGTTGTTTCCACTTTTAGCTCCCTTTAGCTTTCCTTTTCCCCTTTAAAATACAACTTTGAATTTTGATTGAAAAAAGCCATCTTTTATATGATATTATATTATATTATTCAATGCGGCTTATTTCTCAAGTTTTGTAACCAAAATAGCAATTTTTCATGCATTGTTTTATTCCTTTATTCCATCTGAAGTGAAGGGTACATCTTCCATCCACATTCAGGAGCCAAGAGGAAATGGGATTCTGCTGGCCCACCATAGTAAGCAAATTTTGTTGTAATCCTGGCCCTCCCCCCCAAAAAAAAGAAGAAAAAAAAAATGCTCACTACAAAATTAGAATATTGGAAAAGGTTGTAATGGAAATGTGAGAGTTCAAATTCTTTTTTTGTTTTCTTCTTTTTGAGAAAGTGAGAGTTCAAAATCAAAGGTGAACAATTACGGATTAAACTTGTTGCTAAAGATGTTTGAAATGGGTTTTTCTTGTCTGGGAGGTTTTCCAAGCCTAGTCCCTAGTTTGTGTCTTGGAATGGTTGCTTTTCCACGTCTTTTGCTTTCCTGGAGGACGACATGTCGTTTCATCAGACTCATGCTAAGATTTAACATCAGAGACAGGAGAAGAATTCCCAGTACCAACGACGGGACTACGATTGCATATGAACTTAATACAATTACTTATAAATTTAATACGATTGTTTACAAATTTGAACGTTAGAATTGTAAAATGAAACAATAGATTTATGAACCTCGAAGTATGAATGCTGAAGCTCTATAATAAAACAATAAACTTACGACCTCGCATTAGGGCCTTAAATTAGACTCTTGACATCATAGAGCGGCTCAAAAACCCAACTCAAGCAACATATATGCATTTTTTTTAGCCTATTGAATCGAATTAACAAATGTCACGCTGCTTTTTTATAAGGATTGAGCTCATGTATTTCCTTTTCGTGTCCTCCGGATAAGATTTTGACACCATGTCATGACTTTTTAATTATTGTGATATAATATGATTAGAGAGACGTGACAAGAACATAAAAAGACAACGAGTTGATTTCATTTTATTAAGCAAGAAACATCACGTTTCTATATTTTTTCGTTACAACAGAGTGTTGCACAGTGATCTCAATTCTCAAATGGAAATTACTCTATTTATCTATTTAATTATTATTAAATATAAATGAAAATCATCTTAGAACTTCGCCAAAATATTTTCAAAAGCTCCAAATATACAGTCACTTCGCCAAAGTTAATGATACAGAATTTTGCGAAGGCATGTTATTTCTGCCCACTACATTTGTCGTTTATCTATCATAATAAACTACATGTCGTTAGATCTAATGTCGTTTTTACCTTTTTTTTTTGGGGGGGGGGGGGCTCAGGAAATCTGATTTTCTTTTGGCTGGTGGAGGTGTTACGGGCTCAATGGTCGTCTCCATAAGATGTCACATATCAATAGATACAAATGTCGTTTGCTAGTTTCTAGCAAAAAAAAATTTGTCGTTTGCTACTTTTTCTTAAAAAATTGCCGTGTAAATTTCAAAATAAACGACGCGTCGTTTGAGTCAATGTCGTTTTTCTCTTTTTGGCGGAGGAAATGTCGTTCTCGGCCGGTGCTTCGTATCGACCCCTGGCTCTCTCAGTTCCCGCCCCTATACTCTCCAAACTCCCATCTTCTTCTATTCTTCTCTCTTCTCTGTATTTCATTTCAACTCCAAAACGTCCAAATTCCAAACCCTAGCAATGCAAATCACAGACGAACAACGCAAACGAGCCGAAGCCAACCGCCTCGCCGCCCTCGCTAAGCGCAAAGCTCTCATCGAATCCTCCAATGGCGGACGACAACAACAACAGCCATTGACGCT